TGAGATTTTCCAAGTGTCTATCCAGTACAGTTCTCCTCGCATTCCAGTCCGTATATGTGGACTGATCATCTGATAATTGAGGGCAGATAGTTGGAATGAGCAATGAGATCAATTAGGCAGAACCAATACACATTTAATGAAGGTGTCCAAAGCTAGGTACAGTACTTACTCTCTATCATAGACTTCAATCGGATAGAATCCTCATATTTATAAAATGTGATACAGTGGGACAATTTACCATCACGACCAGCTCTTCCTGTTTCTTGATAGTATCCCTCTATTGATTTAGGCATAGTTTGGTGGAAAACAAAGCGAACATCAGGTTTGTCAATCCCCATCCCAAAGGCAATAGTAGCAGCAACAACCTACCAAGAAATTAAAAAATAAAAATAAATGCCAAAACAATTGATTCAACAAAAACAGAATTAAATTGAGTGAAGTCAAGATTTTTTAAAGCACCTTCACTTTGTTGGAGATCCATTGAGATTGAGTTGCAGCTCTTGCCTTGTCAGACAAACCAGCGTGATATGCGACAGTTTTTATTCCTGCACTAGTGAACTCCTTAGCAGTTGTCTCACAATCTTTTCGAGAGAAGCAGTACACTATTCCTGAAGCACGTGGAAATTTCTCTTTAATCATTTCAACCATTTCAGCATTACAAGCTTTTGACTTTTTGGGTAACACAGAGTACTTTAAATTTGATCGATTGAAACTAGACAGGAACCTGAAAGTGCAAGTTAGTGATTAAGTTATAAAAGTAAAAACTACACAGTTAAAGAAAACCTCATAGGTACATAAAAAGATTGTACATTTTCACATCGCGAAGACCCAGCTGATGTTTAATATCTACTCGAACTTTAGGAGTGGCTGTTGCAGTCAGCGCCATAAATGGAACATTAGGATACTTTTGACGGAGTTCATTCAGTTTTCTGTAATCTGGCCTGCAAAATAAGACATAATCTATCAAATACATTGGAAGAACAAACAGAAAGTTGTGGGCAGTAATTTTCTGTGGATATGATAGAATTTAAAAAAAAAATACCTGAAGTCATGGCCCCACTGGGACACACAATGAGCTTCGTCAATAACAAAACGAGATAGTCTCCCACGTGCATGTAAGGATGAGAGAATACTTTTCAACTTATCACTTGCACTCAACATTTCTGGTGTTACATACAGCAACTTGATACCTATGGATTTTTAAAAAAAAAGATAAAAATTGAAAAGAAACTTTAAAAAAAAAGAGATACCATGCAAAAACTTACTTGGTTCCCTCAAGCTCAAATCTAAATATACATTGTCAATTTGTTGTCTGCCAATATCACCAGAAAGGCAAGCCGATGGTATCTGTAATCAACAGGAGGATTTATAATGAACACAGTAGTAAATGGGGACTACATAAATCAGCCAGTAATCTAACAGACTTACATCCAAGGAATTAAGCTTCTGCACTTGATCAAATATGAGAGACTTAAGAGGTGAAATTACAATTGAGACTCCAGGATTTAATAAGGCAGGTAGTTGATAACACAGTGACTTTCCTCCTCCAGTAGGCATAAGCACAAAACAATCATGGCCTAGGAGAGCTGCATTTATAATCTGGAGTTGATTGGGGCGGAACTCATGAAGACCAAATTTAGCTCTAAATAAATCACGCATTTCTTTTGAGTGAGGGAAACTATGGCCATCAAATTCTCCAGTCCTCCCATCATTCCTTATACCATGATGGAACCGTCCTAATTCGGAATCTCCACTGGTGACTTGTGCAACAGATTTTGTGGAGGTGGAGGACGAAGAAGACTGCATTGCGGGAGGTTTTCTGCTGTTAACTTGCTGTGGAGGGCTTTCAGGTGGAATATGCATATAGTCATCCTCATCCTCCTCTTCAATGTTGAAATCATTATGATCAGGAAGTGTGTTATTAAATCTTGAAAAGGAGTCATTTTTCTTGAAATTTGAACTTGGAGATGGTGAATAAGATGTACTTGAAACATCATTCCTTTCATTCGATATACTTGTCGATGATGAATTCTTATTAGATACTGAACTGCTACTATTGAAGAGCCTGTTGTTTGAAGCAGGTGGGTCGGGCTTAGACAGCCATGAGTTCAATGTGGCTGGTGAGGACACTGAACTACTATTACTGCTACTATTGTAAAGCCTGTTGTTTGAAACAGGTGGGTCAGGCTTAGATAGCCACGAGTTCGCTGTAGTTGGTGAAGACTGAACCGTTGAAAAGCTGGATTGCTCTAACATATTTGCGCTGCTGGCGTTTATGGAGCTGGAAAGTGAATGGATACTCGAGGGAGCTCTTCCAGCAGCTACAGTTGGTTTCTTAAAAGTGAATTTGTTTACTGGCTTCGATAAGGCTGACGAACTTGAGCTTTGATCTAAATATGAGGATGTTGTGTTCAGAGAGCTATGATTTGATTCCTCGAAGTGTCTATTGACCATTTGCTTTCCACATTGCTCCTCTCTCAAAACTGAATTGTTTGAAGAAGAAAATCTCTCTGCTTGTTTTGTTTCCATTCTACTTCCATGCTCTTCAGATCTGTAACTAGATGAGAGGCCTGATTTTGAGGTACTGAAAGCTCTACTAGGAACCAACTGCTCCTCTCTCACCACAGGGCTAGTTGGAGCAGAAAATCTTTCTGTTGAGTTTGCTTCAATTCTACCCCCCTCTAGATTTCTATTAATAGATGAAAGACCCGATAAAGACCTACTGGGCGGCTTTCTATGGTCATTAGTTGAGTTATACTTTTCAGGTGTACGGTTTTCTATGGTCTTCAAAGATTTAGCAGGGGATGGTGTCTTCCCTTCCATCGAGCGCTTTGCTGATGGGCTTCTCAGACTAGATTCCTTCTTGAGGGAAATATATGCTTCCTCTGTTTTCTTTACTTTCACACACAGCCATGTTGCTAAGTATCGAAGTCTGAAAACTCCAGTATCAAAGTCAGGAATAATTTCAAAAACCTCTTGTGGCACTGAAAAAAAAATTCCCATAATCTTTTCCAGTACCTCTATGTACGAGGATTTTAGAGATTCTAAGTTCGATCTGACAGAACTGCAAGACATCTGAAAGAGCATCACATCAATCAAAATTATTGGCTGAGCGATAATAAATTACTGTAAACATGATGTACAACACAGCAGTTGTTCAAAATAAAGAGAAACCTACCTCAGGCAAAACTGGCTTCAGACATACACTTCTTTTGAATTCCTTAATCCAAATATCCATTTCTAGTTCTTTGTCTTTTTCACTGAATGATGCTTTCTTAGGACCTGAAAAAATGCGAATTGAGGACAATGCAAAAGAGAAAGAGGAAAAAACAAACTTCAAACTTGCCTGAGCTAAAACATACTTTTGTGCTTCCGGCTAGGAGTTAGATCCCTTCCTTTCGAGTTGGAGACCTTTCTGGTTGGTGTTATTTCACCTTCCTTCTTAATTCTGGAGCCAGCTCCATCTAGCAAAATAGCAAAAATATTTTAGAGCATAAAGTCAGGCTTAATGATGATAATTGTCCATAAATATAATTATAATTGCATTCTTACCTCTCTTCTCTCTCCCTAAGTTTGAATCATGTTTGAGTTTATTTTTTATAGTACTTGGAGAGTGAGAGGGCTTCCCTCTAGAAAAGGATCCATCTCTAGAAATAGATTGCTTATCACTCGGCTTTGATTGATTTTCATTGTCTTCTCCAAAACCAATACTCTCAGTCATTTCAGTAAAAGATCTTTTTAAACTTGATGATTTTTCAGTGACACTATGTAAACTATCCTGAGAAATGGAATTATCATTAAATGTTTTGAAATCTTCAGTTCCCGAAGTAGAGCTTACTTCTGTTTGTGGTTCAGATTTGATTTCAGAGGTCTCTAAAGCAGAGTGGTTTTCAGTGCAATGTTTCTTAGATGGTGGTGATGATCCTGGAGAGAAGTCTTTAGAAATGCTTTTCTGCTCTTGTTTCTCTATGGATATTACTGAAGCATCCATAGCAGCATCCACAGCTGCGTCCACAACACCAGTAAGTGAAAAGCCTGAGCCGGGGAAATCGTCATCATCATCAAACATGTCCTGCTCACTTCTAGGGCTGTTGAGCACTGTTTTCTCAGAACAAACTTCTGGTTCAAAGGGAAAAACAAATGTTACAAACACACACACACATTGCATACATAAAGGACCCACAGTAATAACTTTAAAAAAAGTATGCAGAAACTGAGAGGAAATTATTTAATTAATTACCTGAGCTGTCATCACTACTGATTGATATGATAGATAAACGAGATTGTTTAGGGGGAGGAGTGTTAATGTACATTATGTCATCTGCACTGTCATCTTGTTGGTCACCCAAAGGAGCACTCCACCCTTTAGTAATTTGTCTATCAAGAGTGTCTTCATCTTCAAGCTTAACTTTTCCAGGAGCATGGGCATGATTGGTCAATAAATTTACATTCAAATCACTGTTAGACGATTCAACACTGAAAAAAGTAGAATATATTTTACATCAAACAGAGATAAAATAAATGCACGGTTTATGAGACAGCTATCTCCTCTTCTACAAAAAAGGACTTACAAAGTGTCGGCAGAACCAGACGACTTTCCCTTTTGCTCGTCAATTGGTTCTGGTTTAGGAGTAATGAAACTTTTCATGGACGATTGTTTCTTTCCTAAACTCAACTTCTTGGAACCCGATTGAGTTGATGGTCTTGGGAAATCCATTGGCCATTACGTATGTGATAACTATTAATGACCAGGCATTAAGAAATAAGGATGAATATACAGTTCTAAGGTATGACAGAAGGATACAGTAGAAAATCATCAAGTGATGAATAAAACTAATGACGAAAAAAGTACATAATTGCAGTTTTCATTCTAAAGCACAAAAATCAAACTTCAACTGAGTTGCTTCATAAAAGATGAATAAAAATAATATGGTAACACAAATCGGCAGGGATCATTTCATAGAGAGCTCTCACCTAGATGGCATAAATTTATTTTTAAACTATTGTTTGTCAACAATATCTTGCTTCAGTTTAATGTTGTTGATGAACAGAGAGCAACTATTTGTTTGAATCTGGGCCATACAACGAGGTTATGTTTTCGCCAGTTATGTCTTTGTGTGCTAAACGCACTCCCGCCCGCCGCGGAAACCTTATTCACAGGACGCAGGGTGAGTCACCTTCGTATTGCCATTGCAGTTCCAGCAACAAGGAGCACATCGCGCCACCCCCTTCCCCGGGCAAACGCCGGAAACTTTGCGATTGTGACGTGCAAATTAGCACATCACGCCGACGGTTCGTAGTTTCATAGACAGCACAGTACGTCTTTTACTTTGTATTCAATAATCGCGAGTTGACACTACGGATTTGCGCGTCTTGGGCTCTTGCCAGTTGCAACCCAAGAGCCGCTAAAGTAGGGTTAGAGATCCCGTTTGATAAAACGTGAACGTGGATTAAAGACCTCCGACCTCCACCACCACCTGTGCTGACCTTCGTTGGCCGTTGCAGACTTTCGTTATCCTGTTAAAAAGAGTATCCGAAAATCATTCAAAACACTTCCAGACCTCCAAGTCCAAGCAGCCCTGAGGACATCGGAAGAGCAAGGTGAGTGGTGTTCTGTTCGCATTTTTTTTTTTTTTGCATGAAGCATGAGGCGAATTTTCATTTTATTTCTCGGTAGTCCCAACCATCTACATTGAGCCCGAGCCTACAGTAGTCTACATTTCGCTCGGGGAATAGCGCGGGGGGGGGGGGGGGGGGGGGGGGGCAGAGGCAGGCACAGCTCGAGAACGGAGGGGTGGGTGGGGCATTTGTTTGTCCCGCGCCCCGTCGCGTGTTTACCTTGTTTACCTCGGCGCCCGAGATTCCCACGTCCCTCCCGATCCAGGCGGGATCTCCCTGTGTGTGCCCAGAGAGGCCCTGCCGGCAGTGTGGTTGCGGAAGGGGTGTGCTGGGCGGGTTGCACGTCGCACTCGAGGTAGATTGCGATACGACGACACACAATCCAGTCGCTGGCTGTGCCCGGCCCGCCCTACAGGGGAAGCAATTTGTTCAAGTTTATTGTCCGGGCGCACCTGCGTCGCCGTGCCGCGGTGTCGCCTAATGGTGTCGCGGCGGCGACGGCGGCGACGACGCTCGCAACCCTCGCGACCAGGTAGACCCAAATCACCAAATCGCCGATTTGCCCAACCTCGGAAATCGCTAATTATACGTCTACATATCCTGCGTCCCGGCCCTGACCACCCTGGGAGTCTCTCGGCTCGTACATAGGCTACGCCTTGCCTTTTTGGGGGCAAGTTCGTACGGCTCGGTACGGCTAGAAATGGGGACATACCAGGGAACAGACGACTCCGCTGTGGCAGGCAAGGAACCAAGGACTGGCGATACTAGTCACCCTGGAGGTGAAGACACCACCCCTCCCCCTCTGCTGAAAGTATCTGCACCCCCGCCCACCATCACTCGATCTCCTCATTCCACCCCCCCAGGCGTCGTTCATGGTTTTAAAGGCCTAACCGTTGGGCCAGGCCTTGCTGGCTGCGGTCGAACTGAACGGGGGGTAGGGTACGCTGGCGGGGGGTGTAAGGGGTTAAGAAGTCGTTGGCTTTGATAAATTAAACAAATTTTCCCCTCGATTACTCCCGGGGCGGCTGCCTGGCGGCTGCAGCAGGACCAGGACCGGGCGCTCGGCGCGGTAATCGGGGGCAAGAAGGCATCCGCCGGGCCGGCCGGGGCGGCAGACCAAGACCGCAGCCGCCCCCCCCCCCCCCCCGGCGCCCCGGAGAACTTGCTTTCGCTCGAGTGAGCGGGGCGTACTTCACCCGGAGAGGGTACATCAGCGGACGGGGGCAGCGAGCCAAGCGGAGCTCGCGTCGCTGTCATTGCGTTACAGCAGAGCTAAAAGCAGAGTTACTGCCGCGCTCAGATTTTTGTCTTATTTTTACTGTGATTATTTTATATTTTTTTTTGGCGAGGGGTGAGCTACTGCGGCCGCGACATCTGCTGGGGGTGGGAACGGCTTCGGTGTCATTACACGTACCCCTTACCAGACCGCCGCCGCCGGGCTTGGCTGCACCCTCGCCGCCCTCAGCGGCGGGGCGGCGGGGCGGTGGGGGCGTTCTACCGATTGGTATGCAGGTGGCGCGCCGTTGCTGCTGTTTCCCTCCGGCTTGCAGTTTTGGAAGTTGTTGATTACCCGGCTCTACACTGCTAATTAAAACTTGTCCCTCGTAATACGGGCGGCGTGGTCTCGCCCTGTTCGCCCCGCCACGCCTCGGCGCGCGGCGGCAGCGGCGGTAGGGGGGCTCAAGAGAAAGGGAGGACGGTGCGAGGGGGGGG